TACTATTAGTAAGTACGTTGTGGTTCGGTTCGTCTCTCTTCTTCCTTCGTTCGGTTACGGTAGTGTCGTCTATTATATATATATACTATATATTATATATATATATATATATATATATATATATATATATATATATAAGTAACCATTCGAAAAAGGAATTATGTTCATGCATGTTTACTTTCATGTGGTCTCATATCTGAATATTATCAATGGATCACTTCCAGGATTATATGCTGTCTAAAATTCGCTCGAATTGGTTTCTATAAAGACCTGACACCATACCTATTGGTTAATGGGAATTGTATGCCTTGAACAGATGCGCAATCCCTACCTGGTGCATTTGATTGATATCATTTTCTATGTAGGCATACATAATTTCTTTTTATATAGGCGTGTCTTTGATGTTCTATTATGATGCATGCTTACCTCCCTTATCACATTTCCATCAGAGAACACATGGTTAAGAAGCTGCAAAAAGAAGGATTATCAAAACTTGCCACCCTTTTGGATTGTCATCTCCAACGCTTTGCCGAAATTCTCATTCACGAGAAGTGGGTGGCCTAAGGCACTTCCGATGTATTCCCATTCAAAGTGACACCTGCCATTGAGAAGGGCATCTCTTCTTCAACTTCTAATTTTGATTAATTTGGTCTAAGCACACAATATTTTCAGCTGGAACCTCTCGTTCTCTAAATGGGTCCATCAGGAAATCCTGTGAATTGTCGAGCAAATCTTATTCTATATGAGTGGGGTGGGTGTGTGTGAACGAGTGAGAGATAGACAAGGGGATGTTGATCCTCTGGACTTAGTGTCCTGAAACCTCAGTTGCTGTTACAGGATACAGATTTTGTTTTCAAATGTGTGGCCATCTAAAACATTGTCAAATTACTTCTTGATAAATTTAAGATTGATCACATCATGCACCAATAATACACTGTAGATGGCATTCAATGGTGGTCGGTCGTAATTTATAGTGATGAACGTTCGGCACAGGTAATCACTACATCCATCATTGGAGAACCAACAATGGAAGTTCTTGAGGCATATCATATGCCATAGACCCATGCTGCATGGTATTGAATATTTTCCAAAGTCAAATGTCTCGTTTCTTAATAGAGAAAGCTTTCTATATACCGGCAAAGGGAATTAATATATGCTACTCTCTCCTGGCCGATTGGAATGGCTGGCTGGGATACTTTTAAGCATAATGTCACAAGTGAGTGACTGACCGGTTGATCTATATTTGACTCTCAGAGTGTTTTATTTTTTTAATTTTTTTTGCAAACCATATTGAAATTTGGTGCATGTCATAATTTCAATGGGGCTCACCTAAAATAAGTATTGAAAAATATTTTTAGAAAAGTAAAATACACGAACTGCCCCTTAAACTTTTAGGGATATTTTGGTTATTTTATTTTATCACAACTAATCTTGACTATTAGGTGTGAAATTACGTGGCTGCATTTTTTCTATTGACCAAGCTCAAAGTTAAAAGAAATTTATATATTTGTAAATTATAACTAATAATTTATAAATATTTAAATTATGTTTGATAATTTATATAATTAGAACAAACTCTTAAAAAAGTTGATTAATAAATCTAAATGGCTTAAAAAATACAACATTAATTACAGGCAGACATACAATATAGCATGCCAAGACCATAATGAAAAACTTCTAATATTATGCACAATTTGGCCCTGAGATGAAACGTCCAATCCCATATGAGCTTTTAGAGCCTTTTTAAAAAAGGTAGTGAGTGCCACAAACGAAGCTTTAGAACTTAAGAATGATGCATGGGCTCAGTATGGGGTTTCTATTATGATTGATGCTTGGAGTGATAGGAAGAAAAGAAGTCAGATGTATTTGCTTGTGAATTGTGCTGTAGGGACTGTCTTTTTTAGGTCTATTGATGCCTCCGATCATATCCACGATGCCCATTACATA